TAAATAAGACCGGATTCTTTTAAGTTTAAGTTATCTATTTAGCTTCCTAGCCCCCAGTTAATCTACGTATTAGCAGCGCCGAGTATTCAGGGATCCTGTGTGGTGCGTGCGACACATTGATTAACTGCGATACAACTTTTGACATCCGTCCAGCCCGCCGCCAATGTAACAGCTGCAAGCAGGGATCCTGGCGACCCCGCCCCCGCGCCAGCTCTCTTCCCAGATTGGAGCGGATGGGGCACGTCCGCAATCATTGCCAGCCGTCGATCAATCAGCTGGCAGCAGGGATCCTGGCGACCCCCCCCTGCGCAAGCTCTCTTCCCAGATCGGAGCAGATGCGGCTGCACGTCCGCAATCATTGCCAGCCGTCGATCTATCAGCTGGCAGCAGGGATCCTGGCGACCCCCGCCCCCGCGCCAGCTCTCTTCCCGGATCGGAGCGGATGCGGCACGTCCGCAATCATTGCCAGCCGTCGATCTATCAGCTGGCAGCAGGGATCCTGGCGACCCCCCGCCCCCGCGCCAGCTCTCTTCCCAGATCGGAGCAGATGCGGCTGCACGTCCGCAATCATTGCCAGCCGTCGATCTATCAGCTGGCAGCAGGGATCCTGGCGACCCCCGCCCCCGCGCCAGCTCTCTTCCCAGATCGGAGCAGATGCGGCTGCACGTCCGCAATCATTGCCAGCCGTCGATCTATCAGCTGGCAGCAGGGATCCTGGCGACCCCCCCCCCTGAGCCAGCTCTCTTCCCATCGGAGCAGATGCAGCACGTCCGCAATCATTGCCAGCCGCCATCGTCGGAAATTACCCGCTGAAACACTACTTATAAACCAATAAAGTGACAGTAATTCGACTGCCCTCTTCATTTGGGTACACGTCCGGCTGCAGTTCATTGCAATTGTTTGTGTCATCACTAAGTCTCAGCGACGTACGACCTTCCCGGCGGCTCGCTAGCAGGTGGGACACCCTCTTATAGACGAAGGGCCGTTGACACCGACTGGATTTTGAAGGTCGGGGGAAGATACGAACCACTCAACTGACAATCACAAGATTTGTGCTGATTTGAGGTACTGGGCTGGACCTTAAATTTTTATGAGATTGATCGGTGGTGTCAACGCCTGCGGTTGAGCTGCGCTAATCTATAATGCCTTATGTAGAGTTCTTTAAAGACGTTAACTGCCAGGGTGACACCTTGCCAAAAAGCGAAACAATGCTTCAGTTACAATGAGGTGGGACGCTCCTTTTCAATAAGAGTTACATCCAACCCTTTCTTTCGTCTTGAGGCAATGGGTACTGGGGCTCGAAAGCATCCTTCTTACGGCTTCGTCAGAGACGCGTCTAATCGGTATCGAGGAAAGTCTGGTCGGACGTGTACAGACGAGCGCTCGAGACACCCATCAAAGTTGCAAGATCAAGATGAATGTTCTTCCTAATTTTCCAATACTGCGCGGGATCAGAATGGACCTGTCCACATAAAGTAAATATGTGCACCAATTCTAGGCAAGGTTCGAAGCTTGTTTCACAAAGGAGCGATCTAATTGAATCTTATCGGTGGAAGGAAACCCTCAGTGATTGAAAGCTGTAAAAATTAGATGAGAATTGCTAATATCAATGCTCACAAACCCAACCACTGGCTGAATCCAAAACTTGGCTTGCACAATACTGGATGCAGGCTTATGCGCCGGTGCATCCCCTGTCTTCTAGCGATTGTTTGTATCGCAACCCATCCTGTCGCTAGATCTCTGGCGCTCTTGAACCCTAGGCAGAGAAGATGAGAGTTGCCAAAACGTTTGCAAAGCCTACACGTGGCACCCTATTATAAACTCTAGATATTCGCACGAGTCTGCAACTGTGTGCATGGGTAGTGCATGTCTCCTTCAATGATTGGCTTCCAGAACGACCCCCGTCCTGAAGCAAAATTTGTCTGTGCGCCCGTGGCGCACTTAACCGTCGCGCATCACTTTTCAACAAACCATTCTTTTTTTTGCCAAAAGGGAAGCAACCTCCTCCTCAGCACTCTCTATCGACAATCATGAAGATCAAGTTTGCAATGGCTTTGGTCCTCGCTACCGCAGTCCCGACGTTCGGTCAATATCTGAAAGAATGCCCAGCAACTTCCTGCCCAAGGTGGGCATCGTCGCATTTGGGTTCGTCCGTGCTTTGCTCGAATAACCGCAGTGACTTCGAAAAGTGCTGCACGAATTGCTGTGCGAACTATGACTACCATTGTGAAGTCGGGTCTTAGCTCATCAAGCAGGTGTCACGGGTGTCACTCGAATGCTTCGTCTTCGCCGGATCGTTTCAACGGGCTCAAGCAAGTCTTATTGACCAGAGCTAGGATTTTTCCGCCGACCACACAGTATGTTGAAGTAGACGTTAATACAATGTAGCTGCCACTGTCGACTTTTGTGATCTGTTTCCCTTTGTGCTAATTATGAGTAACTACGCTTTCATATTCTCCTTTTCATTGGTATGAAATGGCTGGAGGCTCTTTTAGCATGTTCGCTGTCGAGCCTAAATTTTATTTCGATAATAGCCACAATAATTTCATGAGTACTTAGAAGATGGTGCCAACATCGGAAAATCTCAATATTTTCCCTGTATGTCTACTTTGCTTCTGCTAAAAATTGCGCGTCTCATTTACATGAGTACGTGGTGATCGTACGGTTGAAACGCAAGCAGTCATCCTTTTTCATAGTCAGAGTAGAATCTAATGCTGGCCTAATAAGTTTTCAACGTTTATTAAGAATCGACAACAGGCTCTTAAAGTTTAGATCTGACATGTGGGACGGTGAGTGTGGCAGACGACCCGGGCTGCCGACTCTTGGATTAAAAGTGAGCTTACTGCTGTCTCTAACAGACTAATTTTAGTATGTCAGTTTCTGCAGTCGAACCTCTCTCGTCGCAGCCACAATAGTCAGGTAGCAGATACTATGGCAGTCTTTACACAAATAGCTAAATTTTCACCTTTCTGGTGCTTTATGTACATCGACCGACCAAAGATGATCTATAATACAGGTGATCGTGAAATTAAAAACTATACTTGATCCATTGAACTTCGCCAAACTTCCCGCTTATTTAGTCCTGATAGCGGTCTTCAGCTGTTACTGAACACACATTGACAACATTGAGCAATCGTGAACAAGTGTAATCCACCGTTATTCTTCTACTATTGTGTTCGGACTTGTGTTTGGTTTTTATCGTTGAATTCCTTGACTAATGCTTTGTTTGCTATGTTGTTTATTAGAACGTTCTGTTGAATAAATCCTGCAGGGATGAGCCTGCCATTTTACCGTGAAACCACTCCGCTGTGCGGCAATATGACCAACAAGGAAGAAGGAGACTCAAATATAAACTTAGGCATCGGAATTGACAAACTGAAGCCGAAGAAGTAGATGTATACGCAGATACAAATGCGGATGATGTTTTCATAAACTTTAACACGGCAATGGACATCGATCGGGGACGCAACTGGCGATGAGGTTCACAACATCAACGAAAACAAATTCCCAGACGATGCTGGCAAAATGGACATTTCAGGGAAGAACAAATTCAACGACGACCACGACCACAAAATCAAAACAAACAGAATGACCTTGGACAAATTAAGCATCAAAATGGAGGGAAAAACAACCAAGAACACGAATACACGACCATGATCACATTTAAACTAATTATTTGTTCCATTGCAATTAATCATTTCTTTGTCTGATAACTATTTTAACTCGCAGCAGTGGTGACAGTAACATGATTCGCATTACCGCCACACAGCGTGGGAAGCACAGCAAAACAGGGCGTCATGCACCGACCTACCTGTCGCCTCGATGCATTGTGGGGTCTACACGGTGCTCCCATTCGTAAATAAATTTTGTTTCGTTAGTGTAAAATATCTCTGTGTGGTAAATCGGATGCCGTAGATTGGTGAGAACTACTTCAGCTGCAGGTAGTCGGTAAATTCACCTTTTTATCTTCGGCTGTGACGGTGCCTAAATTACAAGGTGCAGCTGTGACGCGGCAATGGTGTAACGGGGCCCTCAATGTAACGGGGCACCCTGAAGCTTGTACTGGTGACAGTACAAGCTACTTATTCTGATAACAGAATAAGGCGGTGCCTCGTAACTTCACGTACACTCGTACGTGCAGAGGAAGACGGTAAGAAGAAGCGAGTACTCGGTTAGAGTAAAAGTAGAACTGTATTTATAATAGTTAATGTCTGCAATAAATCACTATTTATCTTCATCTAACTATGTCTAAATACAAATGTGTAAATCAGTTATCTGCTCACCACTCATTGCGTGCGTCTGTCGTGGCGCGTCTTCGTTGGTTGATATAATGGCCTATATCAACCAATTAGGAACTACTTGAAGTGCTACAGAATATTGTCCTTATGACAATATTCTGAGAATATAACTCTTATAGTTATATTCTATTAACAATTTCTTATAAATTGTTATGTAACGATTCACCCCGTTACATCACCCCCCCCTTAACCATCAGTCACTTTAGTGACTGATTGACTAAATGGATACTCGTCCCAAATCATTTGGGACGGGGTTTGCACTTGTTGGTCCGCGTCCACTTTCCAACATCTCATCGCATGGTTAACAAGCCCATGCGATGCGCGAGCAAGGCCGCCGAGAGCGCGTCTGCACGTCTCTGTGCGGACGCCGAAGCAGAAACTACAGCAACTGATGTCTCATCGGTTGCTGAAGCGACCCAGCCTGTGTCACTTGGTGATGCAGGCGCTGGTCATGAAGACACTCATGTCTTCACAGAGTACGAGCTCGGTGTCTCGTACTCTCCTGATACGGAAAACGGATCCGTATTGACGGCGATTGTATCCAAGCCGCCTGCCAAGCGTGGCATGGACGATGCTTTGCGTCGCAGCATCTTTTGGTTTATCTGATGAATCAGATGAACTGATGAATCAGATGAACCATCGCCGAAGCGAAGGCGCTCGAGGTCGCGAGACTCGGGCGCTAACAGTGGTGTCGGTTCTCCTATGGACACCAGTTCGCAACGAGGTGCCAGTACTTCTGTCGGCACGTCGCAGGAAGAGCGGGACCGAAATGTCTTGCGTCTCGCTCCTGAGAAGAAGGCATGGATGCCTCCCAAATCAGTCATGGATCACTTGTCGGCGACGACGAGTGATCGTTATCGAACACGATTGTTCGATTCGTCAAGGATCCATCACCTTGACCCCAGCGCGAAAGACTATCGCGCTGAACATGAGTTCTTCATCGATGCTTTCTTCAGACATCGATGGTACAGTGGGAATCACAAACGTGATGGTCCCTCACTACTTCAGGCGTGGAACGCCTACATCCATAATCTCGAGGATGTAGGTCGTGACGCTTGGAACGACAAACTTATTAAAGCTCGTGATAAGTTTGAAAAGCGAACCCCGACAGGTGCACGCTATAAGCTGCATCGTATGTCTAGGGAGAGTGGGTTACCCTGTCTCTCCTGGGGAGACTCGTGCCCTTGTTGTGTGAACAACTCTGCGCGCGCACCTATGGAGGCTTGCTTTCTAAATAGCCCGTGGTGGCGCGTACGTATCTCTACTGAGATGTACGAAGGGATTGACAACCTGAAATACCTTTACGACCGTGCCGGGAAGACTTTCTCCGGCGGTTCTTCTGCGGCACAGGATGTGCCGCGTCGTACTGCTCAACCAGACCCAGTACGTCGATCATCAGTTGGGAGCGGGGCTCCCAAGAATCCCAGGACGGGGATAGCCGCGCCACCGGACGAGATAACTCGTCCGGCGTCCGTTCACGTCGCGGTGGTTCAACAGCTTCTCAACCAGATAGCGCTGGCCACCGCGAGAGTCCTCTAAAGGAGGTGGAGGAGGAGGAAAGACGCTCTCCACACGATCATGTGGATCGGTGTGTCCCCGAGAGCTTCTTTGATCGCGTAACGCAAGGGTTACGCGGCGACCTCGAACAGGAGCGGGACAGGCGTCTCCAACTGGTGGACACTGTCTTGAAGCATCGAGCTGAGTTTGCCTTTGCTCAGCTCGAGAACGAGAGAGCTCTGACATCTCTTCGTGACGAGCTAAGGGTAGCTCGTGGGATTGTTGACCGGTCTCGGGCTGAGATAACTGCTCTTCAGACCCTTGTCGATATCCACCATCGGGAGCACAAGGCCCTTTGTGAGATGCTTGAACGCAAGGGCGTTCTTCATCGGAAGAAGCAGGGTACTGATGGTACGGATTAAGCAGAACAACGTAAAACGTGGGATGCGTTCACATCTTACGTGGCAGTTCGATCGTATATGCGTTGCTTAGGCGGTGCAATACACGAAATGGGCCAATGTACTTGGGTAGTAGTTTACTGCTACCCAAATTAGTCACTACATGCTCTGGTAGATTAACCGTAGACAGTAGGACTAAGTCACCTTTATTAAATAAAAGAGTGTTTGCCCTTCCATTCTTGTCTGCATTTTGCTTTTTCTTATCCACCGCTTCGGCGATGGAGTCTTGCACGAAACGGACTACCGTTTCACGAGCCAGTATGAACTGATGCCTCGTTAGCTTCAGTGCGCTGTGAGGGCACTGCATCAACATCAATCTTTTCTTCAGTGAGGGCTTCCGCTCTCTAACTGACATCATCTTCTTCGATATCGATGTTGTCGATATCGGCATCAAACGCATGACCTCTTCGTCAGAGCGTGATGAGCGTGAACCAAATCGGTTTTTGATCGCGCGAGTCCCTCCCCCTTGAACCATAGTTACACTCTAGTACGGTGGGTACACGCGGATGACGTAAGCCATTCACGTAAAACGGTTTATGTGTCGTGGACGCATGCACCGAGTTGTTAATGGCAAACTCTACCATTGGCAAAAACTCACTCCAACTCTTAAAGGAGTGTACGTATCCTCGAAGTATCTCTTCAAGGACACGATTGGCACGTTCCGTCTGACCATCTGACTCTGGATGATCAGATGTTGACATCTTCAAACGCGTTCCGAGTGATTTGAACACGGAACGCCAGAAATCAGCAGTGAATCGTGGATTTCTGTCTGATACGAGTTCGCGGGGCAACCCGCGAAGTCGGAAGATGGTGTCGATAAAGACACAAGCACAGCCACTTGCCGTGATTGTCTCTGGTACAGCCAATATGTGTACCATTTTGCTGAATCTGTTAACAAATACGAGAATACCCGCATTCCCGCGTGCGTCTTTGGGTAACCCGAAGACAAAATCCATTGAGATGGATTCCCAGCACTCAGCCGGAACCGGTAGAGGCTGTAAAGGTGCACGCAGTGAAGGACTTGACTTCACTCGTTGGCAGACTTCGCATGCGCGAACATGCTTTCGCACAAACTGATACTGGCGGGGCCAGTAAAAGTCTCGACTTACCGTGAGATATGTTTTCTCTCGGCCACGATGTCCTCCTATAGGAGCATCGTGATACTCGAACATGATCCGCAAACGCAGATCAGTATCATCTGGAATGACAACACGTGGTGTGTCACCAGAAACGACTGTATAATACAGTAACCCGTTGCGAGTAGTGTATCGATCTGATGCAGATCGATACGCAGGCGACAATCGTTTCAACGATTCTCGGGATGGTTGGGAGAGATGTGTCAACAACTTCACTATCTCACCATCTTGGGCGTATGCCCGCCTCACATCATCATACAACGTTGTAGATGGGACTGAGGACGTCATAGCCGCAACAGTGACTGTCTCACTGTTGGGTTTCACGACTGGGTCAAAGTCGGGACGACGTGAGAGTGCATCAGCGACGACATTAAGTCGTCCTGGTTTGTACTCTACCGTATAGTTGTATTCTGCAAAGAATGACAACCACCGCGCCATTCGTTGAGAAAGGTGCGGGCTGTTCACTGCCGTGCGTAATGACGCATGGTCAGTGTAAACAATGAAGGGTCTATCTCCTAATAGATAGACTCTGAACTTCGCGAGTGCATACTTCATGGCAAGGAGCTCCTTGTCATGCACTGGATAGTTCCGCTCAGCTGGTTGCAGCTGACGCGACTGATAGCAGACGACGCGTTCAACGCCTTCAAGATCGTACTGCATTAATGCACAGCCGATTGCGAAATCGCTGGCATCACAGACCACATGAAATGGCCTGTCCTGATCGGCTATTGCTAGGACTGGGAATTGTATCAAGATCTGTTTGATACCATCAAAGGAGCGCTGACATTCAGCATTCCATAACCACCTCTCGTTCTTTTTCAACAAACGAAAGAGGTGCACAGTCATCTCGGCGTAATTGCGTGAATACTTATGCAAATACTCCGCTAGCCCGAGGAATTTTCGAAGACCTTTGACATCAACCGGCACAGGCCAGTCGGTGATCGCCTTGATCTTTTCGGGATCAGGACGTACTCCGTTCTTACCAACGATGCACCCAAGAAGTGGTATTTCGCTTGCTGCAAATATACATTTCTTGAGGTTTGCATACAATTGATGCTTTCGCATGATTGTAAGAACCTGTCGGACGTGGTATCTGTGAACCACAACGTCCGACTTTCCATCCATAGCTCGACTATGGATGAATATGTCATCGAAATATCTCGGCGCGAATTCTCGTACTGGTCTCAACAGATGTGATACACATCTGTTGAACGTGGCAGGGGCATTACTAAGCCCTTGTGGCATTACTAGCCATTCCCAGAGCATGCCGCTAGGCGTGCTAACTGCGGTATAGGGTAGATCCCGTTCTCGCATAAGGATTTGATAGAAGCCATCCATCAAATCCATGGACGAAAAGATGGTACGCTTTGACGTACCATCAATGATTACGTCCTTCCTTGGTATCGGCGTCTGAGCCGGTACCGTTGCAGCATTCAACTTGTTAAATGCGTGCACTATCCGCCACCCTCCTGTTGCTTTTCGCACACAAAAGGTCGGAGAGCTATGTGGGGAAGTTGATTCCCTCACATGGCCCGCAGCTAAACGATCGGCAAAGAAATTGTCGATCGCAAGTACTTGTTCACGAGGCAGTGGCCACTGCTTCATGACACAGTACTTCGAGCCTGGTTTAAGCTCGACCTCGTGTCGAATACCTTTATCCTTCGGTAACTCGCACGGAACAGTTTCAGGGAATACATCCTTGAATTCAACCAAATCTTCATAGAGAGGATTTGTCTTGAGCGATTCCCACGATTGGGAGTCATATCGCTCAACTCGTGTCTTTTCATCTAGGACACTCTCGTCCATTGATGAACTCCTGAGAACTCTCTCGTTCTCAGTGAACACTGTTGCTGACCTTATGTCGGTTACACACTCGTCGTCAGCGACGAGTACGCAGATCTGCTTGACTTTGCCACTACGCAGATCACGCAAGAACCTTTTATGTTCGAGCGTTGGCAACTGAGTGATCTCCGAAGTCAACTTCGGAGGCGCAATCAGATCAAGTGTGTGAGTGCCCACACTTGATCCGTTATTGACTATGACATTCAATGTCTCTGTCATATTCTGGGGACTTGTTCCCTCAGGCGTCGAAGGACTTATTCCTTCGGATTCCCGGGACTTATTCCCGCGGGTTTCGGGGAACTTATTTCCGCCGTATTTGTAATATCGGGACTTATTCCCGTTACTTCCTCTAGCTGTGGTTGCGCAACCACAGCGAGATCCTCTACGAAAGACTCTCCAGTCGATCTAGGATTATCGTTTCGCTTAACCTGAGCGATCGATTGTTTCTCTTCTAGATGTTCCCCGCTAGGGATACATCTTTGTCCCGGTCCACTCGACTTATTCGAGTAATGGACCTTCGGCGCAGCCCGTGTTTCCTCACAGCCGCCGAAAGCTTGCTCCGAAGTGTAACCGTTTGTTACACTAAGGTTTTGTGCAGTCGTACTAACGGCCGTACCACAAGTGAGGCCATCGCACTCACTCGTAGTACATCCACACGCTTGTGGACGCTTCCAAAACGTTCATCAGATGGCCATCTGATGAACAAGCGGCAGGCATCGTTACTGTTCGATGTTGCCAGTTTACCCGTGGTTCGTACCTTCTGAGCCACGGTATTCCAAGGATGACATCAAATTTGTCATCCAAATCCAATACGATAAAGTCATCGTCATATTGGGTATCTTCTAGCGTATAGTGGATCTTCACTATACGCTTCATAACGGTTACGGATGCGCCTGTCGCAAGACGTACCGTCATCATCGTAGGAGGTGTGTCACATTCACTGAACTTAAAGTGACCATCTTCTAGCGATTGGCGTCGCACAAAATTGTTGGACGCCCCACAATCGATTAGAGCTCGAAGGGACAACTCATTTGTCACTTCGAGTTTCAAGGTAATGAGTGAGATTTCACTACCTAGAGCAGCAACACACAACGTTTGTGTGTTGGGAGCAACCTTCATCAAGAGGCCTACAAATTCTCTTGACGTTGCTGGATCAGTAGGGTGCTCCGCACCTACTGATCCTGTCCGTTTTTTGACGGTCCATCCCGTTGTTGCGTCTTTGCACCAACTGCGGACCCTCGTCCCTGCCCCTTTCTCATGGGTGGACGGTCATTACACCCAGTGTTGCGAGACACTGGACGAGGGGCACTACACTCGTAAGCGTAGTGTCCTGTCTTTTGACATCTGTTGCATCTCTGCAACTTCTTGTATCCTGTAGAGCGAGCCTTCTCGCTCTCTACATTACAGATTTCCATCGGCTCTGGACCTCCGCTGTCATATCGTCTCGGTTGACGATATGATGTCGAGCTGGCGCGAGCCTGTCTCAGAATGAAGTCTTCCTGTTCCGCAATGGAAATGGCTTGTTCTAGTGAATCTAGTTCAAGTAGAAACAGGTGAGTCTTGACGGTACCATCCGCAAGACCCTGCATGAACACCGAAACCAACGTGTGTTCATCAACCGGATTGGAAATTATACAACTCCTGAGATGTCGTATATGTTGTGCGAAAGCGTGCACATCACGCTTACCCTGTTTGAGCTTCAAGAGTTCGGTTCGAGCTCTGAACTCAGCTCTAGGCGGTTCAAACGTTTTTCTGAGCCGCGACTTGAAGACTTCCAACGACCCAAACGCATATGGGTCGTGCAACTTGAGCCCCAGTGCCCAAGTCTTGGCACGTCCTGCCAGATTTGACTGGGCAAATGCAGCTTGCATATCCCCGTCGTCGATGCGACGCGCCCTTATGGCGTCGTCTAATTCGACAAAACATCTCAAGAGGGAGTCCTCTTCGACTCCCTTATACTTAGAGATGTCAATCTTCAAAGTCTCGGGTCGACGCGAGTGCATCGACCCACCAGCAGCAGCCTGCTGCTGTCTCAACAGTTCAAACTGTTGAGAAACCTGTTCTCTCAACAACTCTGATTGTTGAGAGCCTTGTTGGTGAAGCAAGGCTACTTTCTCGCGTTCAGCGTCAGTTTGAACGTGGTCCTTGGACGGACTACGAAGTGTTACCATGTGTAACAGGGCTCTCAAGCTTATACTGATGATAGTACAAGCTACTTATTCTGGTGACAGAATAAGGCGGTGCCGCGTAACTTCACGTACACTGGTACGTGCAGAGGAAGACGGTAAGGAGAAGCGAGTACTTAGTTAAAGTAAAAAGTAGAACTGTATTTATCATAGTTAATGTCTGTTAATAAATCGCTGTTTATCCTCATCTAACTATGTCTAAATACAAATGTGTACATCAACTATCTGTTCACCGCTCATTGCGTGCGTCTGTCGTGGCGTGTCTTCGTTGGTTGATATAATGGCCTATATCACCCAATCAGGAACAACTCGTAAGTGCTGTAGAATGTTGTCCTTATGACAATATTCTGAGAATATAACTCTTATAGTTATATTCCATTAACAATTTCTTATAAATTGTTATGTAACGGTTCACCCCGTTACAACACCCACACGCATACCAACTCCGGCGCGAACACGCTGCGATTGTGCGATGTGATCAAAATCTCCGGCTGAAGACACTTGCAACAGCGTTTGGAGCATTTTGATAGCTGCAAGCACAACTTCCTTGGGTACGCCAAAGGCGGTGTTCAGCGCCACGTGCTGAAGCAGACTCCTCCAAATGGAAGCAAACCACGATGCGTGCTGCAGCAGGTGGTGCAAATTAGTCTCCAGTACGCGACTAATTCCAGTCAGCATCAGCATTCGAGATTCGTTTCATTGCTTCTCACTGTTGGCGCGTGTTTGGTGCAGCATCACATTAGTAGACGCCTTCGACTCGATCTTTTCAAGCGAAAGCGAGCTTTTCTCGTCTCGAGTCTCGCACAATCGAACAGCAAGAGGCACAACCGTCGAGTTCATAAACGATTGCCATTCACTTAGCTCAAACTGAGCACCATACATCACGGCAGTTCCAAAAAGAGTGTTGATCGCGCTGTTCCGCACCTCAACTCGGTCATTCAACGCTACGGAGCTAAACTCCGCAAAAATGTATCTACATTGGCCGCACCGTCGCTGGCTACTCGAGTCGCTTTCATGTTGCGTCTTCTGCGTCTCAATCACATCGGCCGCGCTTTAGAGTTCGTTGACAGCTGTATGAATAATGTTAACATCCTTTGCATGACTGCCAAAAAGCCCAATGTATTTAATGCAATCCAGAAAATAGCTGCTGGGGATCGACACCACCAAGCCAACCACGATAAGGAGCAAGCACATGCAAGCGAGCACATGTGTTGTTCCATCTCCGATTGTACAAGCTTCCTGTATTGTAGCAAATACTGGTGGCCAGCCAGAGCTGATGAGGTGACCGCAAGCATTCAGCATTTCCAGCATACCTGTCAATGTGCGGTCATTCTGTTAGAAAGATGCCATTTTGGCGATTAGCGCCAGCCGTTTTGCTAATAGATAGTAGCAGAACGTGTACGGAATAGATGACTGGATGAGATCGATAGCTAGCAAGGCAGGAGAGAGCGAGAAAGTAATAGGCAATAGACTGAAAATCAATGACACCCTGCGGCGTCAAGGAACGTTTTCCTACAGTTTATGAGCCCAATGGCCGGAGCCACAGACGCAACTACGAGGACGCCAGATGGCGTCGCGCGACCTTTAACTGGACGCCGATCGCCTGCTCGAGTCCCACCGATGGGTCAAGCGCCCGCAGTTGTCGATGTCTCGCCCGCTCGCGAAAGGAGCGAGGCAACTGACGATAAGGTTCTTGCCGCCCTCGTCGGCTGGACGGAGCGCCTGGCGAAGCTTGAGTAGTTGCAGCGCGTCCGCGACGAAGACGAACGGATGCTCGGCGCTGTTGAGGGTGGCTTGTTCGCTTCCGCCCTTGGCGCAAGCAAGCGCGGTCGACCGATGACCATCAATGAGCTTGGGTGGCCGGAGCAGAAGCCAGCAGCTGACTCGGCGCAAGCGCGAGAGCCGGATGACTGCGTTTCGATGTTTGCGTCCCTGGCACCACTGCGCGGACAAGTACCACCCCAAAAAAACGAGTGCCCGCGCAAGCAGCAACAACATCAGCAGGATCCCGGCAGCAAGCGGAAGGGATGGACTACATCTCGACACCGACTGCGAGCCAGCGAAAGTTGTCGATCCGAAGGTTCGACGGGACCGAGCTCTACCGAGGTTTGGGTACTTTTTTTCGAATGGGGACGTACATCCTTGCGCTCGACAAGCTCGCCGAGCGGACATGTGGCATCTTCTGGTAGGAAGACTTGAAGGTCGACCTGGTCGGCCATTTCTTGTCGAGGACAGCGGAACGCTACTGCCACAAGCAAGTGGACACGTGGTGGACGCAACAACCGACGATCGACTACGTCATGTGTCAGCTGGTGGCGACGTCAAAACGGCAATTGTGGCTATCCAAGCGATGTTGATTTTTATGACGAAAAAAGAAGAAAAAGCGAACGTGGTTGGAGCATTTCCACTACATGGTCGCCATGAGAGACGCGCGCGGTGGATCGGACTCGCTCGTCCTGGACAACATCGTCCATCACGCGTCACCCGAGCTCATAGACGTGATGATGGCCAAGTACGATTCCACAAGACCCTACTACATGCGGCACGTGGAGGGAGCTGGCGCAGATCGCTCAGTCTATCCAGCACGGGAGTGGCGCGGTGGGACGTGAAGTCATCGCAGAGCACGTTGACGCGCGACCAGAGAAGCGAACCTGCTTAACTTGTGGAGAGGTCGGGCACGTGCAGCGAAACTTCCGTGCTAAGGACACCGTGGTGGACGAGGAGCACGGTGAAAGCAGTTAAAGGGGGGCGTGATGCTGCTCGCGCTGAAGGAGATGCCCAACAAAGGCGCAGGAGGCAGCATATCGTAGCCCGCGCCGACAAAGCAGAAGGACTACGGTACCGATAAAAGTGGTAGGTATCGACTATTGTGTGCAGCAGGGATACGTGTAGCGCTCTGGAAACTGGTTCATTCGACGTCGGGAGGGATGAGCGATCTTTTTCAGTGGTGAGTCCGTCAACGATGTCCAAAGTGGTTGAAACAGGCTGTTCAAGGCTTCTGGACCGTCTCTGAGAGGGCAGAAGATTATGTGAGCACGTCTATATCACGTAGAAGAGCTGTATTTGTTGTGAAAAACGAGGGCGACCAATGGGCTTGAAGCTCCTTTGGCTCAGTTGGTAGAGCGTCAGTCTTGCATAATCTGAAGGTCGCCGGTTCGATCCTGGCAGGGAGCATCTCTTTGACAATTTCTTCCCTCTCTCTCTCTATCTCGTATTACATGATCCTACCAGCTCTGACGCTCAAGATAGATGGTTGATAAGAAGGTGCTCTAGCTAGGGTACTCGCCTTAATCATTGTGCGTTCTTGTCGAATGCAGACCCTCTATCTATCTCTCGTCTTCTACCAGACAACAACCGGCCGTTACACCTAGCTGGTCGTCAAACATACTTTCACAGCGACTGCCGGTTGGTTGGTATTCAATCAGCATATTAAGCTTCAACATAATATCTCGATTGGGTGACACCATGCGAAGACAGCGAGCATTGCAACAAAAAATACAAACGATGACTCGATCGCGCGCATCCGGGGCGTCTCCGTATTGCTTCTGGTAGTATAGGACATTCAATAGAGCGGCGATCGACTGGCATGGAAAGATTTGTCGGTACCGATAAAAAGTGGTAGGTATCGACTATTGTGTGCAGCAGGGATACGTGTAGCGCTCGAAAGGGTTCATTCGACGTCGGGAGGGATGACATCTTTTCAGTGGTGAGTCCGTCAAGATGTCCAAAGTGGTTGAAACAGGTGTTCAAGGCTTCTGGACCGTCTCTGAGAGGGCAGAAGATTATGTGAGCACGTCTATATCACGTAGAAGAGCTGTATTTGTTGTGAAAAACGAGGGCGACCAATGGGCTTGAAGCTCCTTTGGCTCAGTTGGTAGAGCGTCAGTCTCATAATCTGAAGGTCCAAGCCTTCGATCCTGGCAGGGAGCATCTCTTTGACAATTTCTTCCCTCTCTCTCTCTATCTCGTATTACATGATCCTACCAGCTCTGACGCTCAAGATAGATGGTTGATAAGAAGGTGCTCTAGCTAGGGTACTCGCCTTAATCATTGTGCGTTCTTGTCGAATGCAGACCCTCTATCTATCTCTCGTCTTCTACCAGACAACAACCGGCCGTTACACCTCTGGTCGTCAAACATACTTTCACAGCGACTGCCGGTTGGTTGGTATTCAATCAGCATATTAAGCTTCAACATAATATCTCGATTGGGTGACATGCGAAGACAGCGAGCATTGCAACAAAAAATACAAACGATGACTCGATCGCGCGCATCCGGGGCGTCTCCGTATTGCTTCTGGTAGTATAGGACATTCAATAGAGCGGCGATCGACTGGCATGGAAAGATTTGTCGGTACCGATAAAAAGTGGTAGGTATCGACTATTGTGTGCAGCAGGGATACGTGTAGCGCTCGAAAGGGTTCATTCGACGTCGGGAGGGATGACATCTTTTTCAGTGGTGAGTCCGTCAAGATGTCCAAAGTGGTTGAAACAGGTGTTCAAGGCTTCTGGACCGTCTCTGAGAGGGCAGAAGATTATGTGAGCACGTCTATATCACGTAGAAGAGCTGTATTTGTTGTGAAAAACGAGGGCGACCAATGGGCTTGAAGCTCCTTTGGCTCAGTTGGTAGAGCGTCAGTCTCATAATCTGAAGGTCGCCGGTTCGATCACACACAGGGAGCATCTCTTTGACACTGGTACTTGCTTTCCTCTCTCTCTCTCTCTCTCTCGTATTACATGATCCCTACCAGCTCTGACAGCTCCAAAGATAGATGGTTGATTAGAAGGTGCTCACCTTCAAATTTGCTCGCCTTAATCATTGTGCGTTCTTGTCGAATGCAGACCCTCTATCTAACTCTCGTCTTCTACCAGACAACAACCAGCCCGTTACACCTCACGGTCGTCAAACATACTTTCACGAAAGCGACTGCCGGTTGGTTGGTATTACATCCGGCATATTAGGCTTCAACATAATATCTCGATTCTGGGTGGCATGCGAAGACAGCGAGCATTGCAACAAAAAATACAAACGATGACTCGATCGCGCGCATCCGGGGCGTCTCCGTATTGCTTCTGGTAGTATAGGACATTCAATAGAGCGGCGATCGACTGGCATGGAAAGATTTGTCGGTACCGATAAAAAGTGGTAGGTATCGACTATTGTGTAGCAGGGATACGTGTAGCGCTCGAAAGGGTTCATTCGACGTCGGGAGGGATGACATCTTTTCAGTGGTGAGTCCGTCAAGATGTCCAAAGTGGTTGAAACAGGTGTTCAAGGCTTCTGGACCGTCTCTGAGAGGGCAGAAGATTATGTGAGCACGTCTATATCACGTAGAAGAGCTGTATTTGTTGTGAAAAACGAGGGCGACCAATGGGCTTGAAGCTCCTTTGGCTCAGTTGGTAGAGCGTCAGTCTCATAATCTGAAGGTCGCCAGTTCGATCCTGGCAGGGAGCATCTCTTTGACAATTTCTTTCCTCTCTCTCTCTCTCTCGTATTACATGATCCTACCAGCTCTGACGCTCAAGATAGATGGTTGATAAGAAGGTGCTCTAGCTAGGGTACTCGCCTTAATCATTGTGCGTTCTTGTCGAATGCAGACCCTCTATCTATCTCTCGTCTTCTACCAGACAACAACCGGCCGTTCGGCACACCTCTGGTCGTCAAACATACTTTCGCAGCGACTGCCCGGTTGGTTGGTATTCAATCAGCATATTAAGCTTCAACATAATATCTCGATTGGGTGACATGCGAAGACAGCGAGCATTGCAACAAAAAATACAAACGATGACTCGATCGCGCGCATCCGGGGGCGTCTCCGTATTGCTTCTGGTAGTATGGGACATTCAATAGAGCGGCGATCGACTGGCATGGAAAGATTTGTCGGTACCGATAAAAAGTGGTAGGTATCGACTATTGTGTGCAGCAGGGATACGTGTAGCGCTCGAAAGGGTTCATTCGACGTCGGGAGGGATGGCATCTTTTTCATTGTTGAGTCACGTCAAGATGTCCAAAGTGGTTGAAATGGGTGTTCAAGGCTTCTGGATCTGTCTCTTATAGGGCAGAAGATTATGTGAGCACGTCTATATCACGTTGAAGAGCTGTATTTGTTTGTGAAAAACGAGGGGGCGACCAATGGGCTTCCGAAGCTCACTTTGGCTCCAGTTGGTAGAGCGTCGGTCTCATGCATGTAGAGAAGGAATTAGCCAAGTTCCCGATCCCCCTGGCAGGGAGCATCTCTTTGACAAGTCTTTCCTCTACTCCTCTGGCTCCTCTCTCATGTTATGGACTACCAGCTTTGACGCTCAAGATAGATATGGGTTGATAAGAAGGTGCCTCTAGCTAGGGTACCTCGCCTTAATCATTGGGCGTTCTTGCTCGAATGCAGAACCTCTTATCTATATCTCGTCTTCTACCAGACCGTACTACCGGCCGTTACACCTCTGGATGTCAAACGTACTTTTTCAGCGTTTGCCGGTTGGTTGGTATTCACTCCAACATCATAAAGCTTCAACATTTTATCTCTCATTAGGGTGACATGCGTAGACAGCGAACATTGCAACAAAAATACAAACGATGACTCGATCCGCGCATCCGGGGCGTCTCCATATGGCTTCTGGTAGTATAGGGACATTCAATAGAGCGGCGATCGACTGGCATGGAAAGATTTGTCGGTACCGATAAAAGTGGTAGGTATCGACTATTGTGTGCAGCAGGGGATACGTGTAGCGCTCGAAAGGGGTTCATTCGACGTCAGGAGGGATGACATCTTTTTCAGTGGTGAGTCCGTCAAGATGTCAAAGTGGTTGAAACAGGTGTTCAAGGCTTCTGGACCGTCTCTGAGAGGGCAGAAGATTATGTGCTAGCACGTCTCTATCACGTAGAAGAGCTGCTATTTGTTGTGGAAAAACGAGGGGGCGACCAATGGGCTTGAAGCTCCTTTGGCTCAGTTGGTGGAGAGCGTCAGTCTCTCCATCATCTGAAGGTAGCCTGTGGATTCTGGTAGGGAGCATCTCTGTTTGACAATTTCTTCCCTCTCTCTCTCTCTATCTCGTATTACTTGGTTCTACCAGCTCTGACGCTCAAGATAGATGGTTTGATAAGAAGGTGCTCTAGCTAAGGTACTCGCCTTAATCATTGTGCAGTTCTTGTCGAATGCAGGACCCTCTATTCTATCTCTCGTGTTTCACCCGACAACAACCGGCCGTGACACCTCAGGTCGTTGCCCGTTCTTTCACAGCGACTGCAGGTGGTTTTGGTACTTTGATCAGCGTATGTTTAGCTTCCCAACATAATATCTAGAATTGGTGACATGCAAATACAGTTAGCATTACATTACAAACTATACAATCGATGACTCGATCCGCTTGTATCCGGGGCGTCTCCGTATTCCCTTCTGGTAGTTATAGGACATTCAATAGAGCGGCGATCGACTGGCGTGGAAAGATTTGTCGGTACCGATAAAAGTGGTAGGTATCGACTATTGTGTGCAGCGGGGATACGTGTAGCGCTCGAAAGGGTTCATTCTGACGTCGGGAGGATGACATCTTTTTCAGTGGTGAGTCCGTCAAGATGTCCAAAGTGGTTGAAACAGGTGTTCAAGGCTTCTGGA